GTAGAAGTAGCAGCAGTAGCAGTAGCAGTAGTAGTAGTATAAGTAGTAGTAGTAGTAGTAGTAGTAGTAGTAGTAGTAGTGGTACTAGTAGTAGGTAGACTAGTAGTAGTTCCTGGGTGATCCCAAACCAGCTCAATGAGCCCTGAGTGAGGTACCCAACATGCTGGTTTACTCGCAGGAGCAGTATATATATATATATTAATATATATGTTACGTATTTGTAATACACATGTCCTGCTTGTCGTATATCGGAGGGTGTCCTCAAACCCCAAATATCCCAACCAAAACCTTAAAACCCTAGAGGCCTAACCCCGAAAAGGGAAAACCCAAAACCCTTGATATATGTAGTTGGGATCTGAAGTGTTTCGGGTGCTGGCTCGGATGCGTATAGGTCACCACAGCCTCAAAACTGCTTTCATGGGCTCGTTCCCGATTCCATCCCCACGGCCAGGACGTGCCCTGGTGGCATCGCGATCATCGAATCAGTGGCCTGGTTGATTGGGGATTATAATTATCTGGGGCTTAGGATTTAGGATTTCGGAGTTGGGGGTTAGGGCTTAAGATTTGCGAGATAGGCCCCGGGGTTCAGAGTCCGATTTCGATATTATATTATTAATCCTAGGGTCTTGGATTTTAGGATTTAGGGGTTAGGGGCTAGGGTTTCGGATATGGGAGCTCAGGGTTAGTGTTTACGATTTGGGAGTTAAGGGTTCGGAGCTGGAGATCGACATAATTAATAATTAGGTAGGCCTTGCATTCTTCTAAATTTATGAGGGAATTGGGGCTTAGGATTCTTAAGAGGCCGGGCAAGGTTTAGGATGTGGGATATATATATATATAGATAGCTAAGGTTCGGAATTAGGGTCCGGGAGTGCGGGGTTGGGAGCTCGATATTGTACCTGTTGCATTGTAGACCTGGACCGAGGACCCCAAAGTCCGCACCTACCCTGCTACACTTACATATATAGGTTTCGGGCTTTATAGGATTTGGGGTCTCGGGTTTGGAAGTTTCGGGTTTACAGGGTTTCGGGTCTAGGGTTTAGGGGTTATACGGTTTTGGGTCTGGGGTTTAGGAACTTTGTCGTAAGCTCTCCACCAACAGCGCTAGCTTGAGCGCGAGCTATGACCTTAGCCCTAGGCCCCAATCCCCACAGAAACCTATAACCCTGAAACCCATATATAATTGGCAGACCGGTATAAAGCTTAAACCCCAACCTTGACAGAAGATGACTCCGAGGATTAAATCCCGCCACATATTCGTCTTTGATGGACAGGCCAGACACGGTAGCGGGGTAGCAGTTTCGGGGGTGTTGGCGGACTCGGGATTTAGAAGGCTTGATATATAGTGCGTGGGTTTAGGGCTTAGCTATAATGGGGATAGGGTTAGGGTTTGGGATTTGGGAGTTGGGGATACAAGGTGCTTGGAGGTGGCATGGTTATAGCTTCCCTAATAACTTTTTGGTTTTGGGCTTGTCCTTGTCGGGATCTAGGAGCTTTCAAGTTTGTGGTTCAGGGTCACGTTCGACACACTTACGGCACGGAGGCTCCCGGAGGGACTAGTGGTATAAAGCTAGTGATCGCGCATGGACTCACGCCTTAGGCTTCAGGCCCCGAGCTAGCTGTAGGGTTAAGGGTCTAGGGTTGTAGGGTCGTTGAACACAGGCACATTCTTTTTCTGATGGTGCACAGGCTACACCGAGACATGGATCGCAGGCATCCCGCTTTGCATGATCATGAAATCCTCAACTCGACCAACGTCAGTGATATATGTATATGGTACACAACAGGCACAGCAGGTTCAGCACACACTCGAATCCATGTACACACCCAGGTTTCACATCCTAGATCTGGCGCCTACAGCAGCTGCATGAGGCCTCCTCATACCTGCATCCTGAGCAACACACCTGCAAGGTCTATTAGAATTACGGTTCCATTGCAAGAGGCCTCCGGAGCTTCAAAACTCGCCAGGCTTAAAATTACTGGAACACCCATCAGCCAGATTTCTTCTTTGGCGCAGGTGCACTCTTAGTTTTGGCCTTCGGCTTAGCCAAGTGGACTTTGACGTGTTTGGAAGCTTCGCGGTAAATAGCATTCTGATTATTGAGTTGATAGACGCGCGGAGCCATGGACTCCTCGTCCATAGCTTGCGCCACCGCAACCTGCAACAAAACGAGTATCCGGGATCCTAGAATTCGAAGACCCTAAACCCTAAACTCTAAACCCTAAGCTACACCGTAAACCCTAAATTTACAGCGAATAGATTCCACCCCTATATATACAATAAAAATCCCTATAAATAAAACACCTGACCCCGAAACCCCTGACCCCGAAACCTCTAAACCTGAAAGGCCCCCCAAAAAACAGTTGCCTGCCTCCACAGCATCCCTTTTCTCGCGAAGCTCCTCTTTCTGAGAGTTCATGGCATGCACAAGCGCTTGGATGAGGTGCTCATCCCTGCGGCAATCCAGCGATATCACGCGGGTACGAGGACCCGCTCTAAAGCAGTACGTTTACGGCTTATTTATTGCCTTTATATATGCAGCTAGGGATCACATTGTTCGCTGCCAGCTGATGTGCGAAGCCCGATATCTCCAGCATGTTGGAGTTGGCCAAAACCATGGCCTCAGACTATAAGGGCTCTAGAGGTTTCCATTATTAAAGCTTTAATTAACCGAATTTCGAACTGATAGTGCAAGGGTTCGATATCTAGAGCTGGCTTGTATGATATAGTATATGCAGTACGGGTGCACGGTATATAAAAATACTGATCCGGTCAAGCTGCTGCTTTAGCCTGCTGGAGAATCGTCTTGGGTTTCGGGGGCTGCTTGTTCGGCTTCGGCGCCGGCTCCGGCTTGATCTCACCAGCAGCTGTATTGCTGGGCCCCGCCGATCCAGAAGCCTCGCCGCTTCTCGTCGTTTCGATTGATCTGGACTGACTGTCCTCCTCGGCCTCCATCGTGGAGTCCCAGCACCTGTACGCCCGAATTTCCTGCTGGGCTATATACAGGTTTAGGGTCAGGGTCCAGGGCTCAGGGTTTAGACAATTATAGGGTATACAGAAATAATTAAAGAATTTAACTATATATTTAATTATTAGGCACTAACATCCATCCTGTCCTTGTTCTCGGGGTCATCTGGATTGCTCATCCACATGGCCGGATCTTTCTCCTGCATCAAGAGTACCCGAACCGTAAAGTTCCACCCCGAAACACAAATCCCCAACCCTAACTCTGTGCCTTCTGCGCCACGATGCTGTCGGCAGCTTCCTTGCCATACTTGGCGACCAGGTCCTGTTTCTGGTATTGATCGAATATAATAATATAGCGTTTAGGGTTTAGGGTTTAGGGTTTAGGGGTATATATATACACACACCCCAAGTCACGGGATAGGTAGTTTATGTTCAGGTTTTAAGGGTCTGATGTCAGAGCATTTTGTCGATAAGCTCATCCTTCTTCAGCATCCACACATACTGAGTCCGGCTGGAGCTAGACGTCCGCAACTCGGCCCTAGCCACAATCTCCGTCTCGCCCCAGTCTTCGCCGGCGAGGACATACTGCCGGAAAAGGTCTTGCATCTTACTCCGGTTCACCCGACCTGCTCCAAACACAGTCGTCTGTTTAAAATAATAAGAATTTTGGCATCGGCCTGTAGGGAACTAGCTAGGGTTGAAGGTTTAGGGGCCTCGAGGGTAAACCCAGAACCCGAAACCCTCAACCCTATATATATATATATTAATAAACTACTTATATTATTGAAAATTAATTAATTGTATACACTTTAGGCAAGAGTCCGTTGGGGTCCTTGCACTTGTCGTGTGCCTCTCTCACGGCAGCCGGGCAAGTGGCACCTAGGATGGAGCTGTGCTAGACAACACCTTCATTATATCTTAAAGCATTGCCTACGTACGTAAACCGCACCCTAAACCCTGAACCCTCTTCCCTAAAACCGGTGATCCCGAAAATCCAGAAGGCCCAACTCCGGAAACCATATATATATATTATAATATATATATATATTATATATATATATATATTATATATATTCAATATATATATATATATCTTACGGATATGCATATGTACATTATAATAAACTCTGCACCGCAGGATCCGGAGAAGCTCATCGAGTCCACGAGCAGCTAGAGGTTCATTGCGTGAGTTGGAGGGCTTTAAATTCAGAACGGATCAGGTTTAGCTACGGGGCCGAGTTCTTCACTAGGTTATGGGTCTGGGCTCATGACAATTGTTTAGGCATTGGGGCCGGGTTCATTTGCAGGTACCGGTGTCAGCAATTTATAAATTTACTTTAGACCGGGTTCATTTATGGGTATAGGGGCCGGGTTTATTATGGGTATGGGGGCCGGGTTGATTTACATCGGTACCGGTGTCCTAGGTTTAGGTATTGGGACCAGCTTCGTTTAAGTTTCAGGTTTGTTGCATTGGGGCCAGGTTCATTTAAATTCGGCTTCAAGTTTAGGGTCTGGGCTATTTAATTAGGTTCCAGCAGGTTTCCGTGTATGTATATAGGGGCCGGGGTACCGGTGTCAGGTTTAGGTATACCGGGTTCTGGTTTTCAGCTAATAGGTATTCGGGCCCGGGGGTATTAATTATAAGCTAAGCCACTGTTAAGGCTCCTGCTGAAGCGCATGTACTGGTTGCGCTTGAGCTTCCTCTCCTCCTGATATATCATGAATTAAACCCTACGACCTAAACCTCAAACCCTAAACCCTAAACCTTAAACCCTAAACCCTAAAGCCCTGAAGCCCTAAACCTTAAATATATATGTCAAGCTCGCCTATTCCATGCGTACGTACTTTTTAAATACGACGGTCCTCTTCTTCCGGCTGCGGCTCTGGTGCTTTGCCTTTGGCCTTGGGCGATCCTGTAGTCGTTGGGGCTGCTGCTTTTTTCGGCGATCCTGTAGTCGTCGGCGGGGCTGCTTTTTTTGTCGGCGATCCTGTAGTCGTCGGCGGGGCTGCTGTTTTTTTCGGCGTCGGAGTCGTCGGCGCTTCAGCCGGGGTGGTCGGCACGGAAGTCGATCCGACCGACGGCTGCGGTGTCGTCATACCCTGCTGCAGCATCTTCGTGAAGTCCACCGTCTCCGGTCGTCGAAGCAACTGCTCAAGGGACCCCACCTGCGATCCGGTGCCACCATCATTCGCTGCTTTCACCATTGCCTTGAGCCACTCCATCGCAGCCTCTGCCCCTGCCGGTGCTTGCACTGCATCCTGAGCCTGAGAAGCAGGATCCGACAGCTGAGCCTTCGAAGCAGGATCCGACAGAGCCTTTGAAGCAGGATCCGACAGAGCCTTTGAACCAGGATCCGACAGAAATGCCGCTGGCGGCTTGAGGATTTCCCCATCCGGCTTGATTGTGTCCTCTGGGTCGGGCTGTGTAGCCATCGAGGTTTGGTAGCTGTCCTCAGCTTTGATCGATAAAGAGAGATAGAGCTAGATATAGAGAGAGAGAGATACATATAGGTTTAGGGTTTAGGGTTTAGGGTTTAGGCTATATATATATATATATATAGAATAGGGTGACTACTTCCGCTAATGAAGCATACGTATAGCATAGTGCCAGAGCTATTCGTAGTTGTAGTAGTACTAGTAGTAGTAGTAGTAGTAGTAGCAGTAGTAGTAGTAGCTATATAGTAGCATAGTAGTATTAATATTAGTAGTAGTATACTAGTGGTTATATATATAGATATAGATATAGATATAGATATAGATATAGATATAGATATAGATATAGATATAGATATAGATATAGATATAGATATAGATATAGATATAGATATAGATATAGATATAGTAGCAGTAGTAGTAGTAGTACTAGTAGTAGTAGTAGTAGTAGTAGTAAGATTTGGGAGTTAGGCCTCGGGGTCCCGATATCGATCTAGCTCCTAATAGGGTCTTGGGGTTTACAATTGGGGGGTTAAGGGTTAGGATTTCGGATATGGGAGCTGAGGGTTAGTGTTTACGATTTCGGAGTTATGGCTTCGGAGCTGGAGATCGAGATAGTATGTAGGCCTTGCATTCTTCGATTCTAATTAAATGACGGTCTTGGGGTTTAGGGTTTAAAGGAAATAGGGCCGGGTTTAGGATTTGGGAGTTCGCGGTTATAGGATTCGGAATTAGGGAGTGAGGGGTTGGGAGGTCGATATTGACTTCAAAGATACTTGTCCTGCTGGTATAAACTGGTTTAGCGAAGGGAGTCCTGAAACCCTATCCCGACCTGAAAGCCTAAAATCCTACAGGCCTAAACCCCAAGCCCTTCCTTTTGTGCTTCTTGTGGTTGTTGTTGTTGTTGCTGCTGCTGCTGCTGCAGTTATTGTTGCTGGTGTACGTTATTGTTGTTGTTGTTGCTGCTGTTCCTGTCGGTGTTGCTGTTGCTGTTGCTGATTGTTTATAAGGTGCTTTTTAAGACACGGCAGAAGCCATCAGAATCAGGCACCCCCACTCACCCTGAAATCCGAACCCACAAAACTAGACTCGAAAATCACTGAAGCCTAATCCCGAAACTCTCAGCCCTGAAGTATAAAGCCTCAACCTTCAATTGTCGAGCTTATACTCACATGCACAGGGGCTGCCGGATCTTCGGATTTAGGGGATTCGGGAGAGTTTTGCACGGGTGTCTGGGTCCAGGGGTGTAATAAGATATATGCACAGGGGTGCCGGATTTTGGGATTTAGGGGGATTCGGGGAGTACGGTTTTGCAAAGTGTATGGCCTTAATAAGAATTGGGGAGTAGGGTTCGCACTTCGGGTCTAGGGAGCTGGCGCTCTTTAGTCCGGTCACCTGGTCGTCCTCCGGCATAGCCAGGAGCTGCATCTGCGGGACAGTGGTCGACTAGGGTTTGGGCTTAGGGTTAGGGTGTTAATAACAAGATCGACTCGGGTGCTTCCATCGGTTAACTCAGGCCTCGAAGTCCTTGGTAACCGCATCGATCAGCTCATGCTGTCCATCCTGCTCCATGCCCGTACCCTCGTAGCTTTCCATAGAAACACCCTTGTCGAAGCCGGCCATTTCCCGAGCCTGACGACCATTCAACTAGCTACACTATATATATAGAACCCAAAACTCTAATACCGTTCGCTATTCTGAATCAGTACATATTTGAACAAAATTAAAAACACACACGGCCCCGACCTTTCTCAAAGTACCCGGTGTCTGGCCCGCATCCAAACTGTCCGTGGAGGTGGCGGCTGCGATTCCGGCCCCCGCACTGGACTTCACAGGCGTTGATCCTGGGTTAGGGTTGAAGGTTTTTTGTATAAATCATGTCTGTACCAGGATGCACCAGTGCTGGTGCTACATAGATTACTGTACAGCTAGGTACTATCGCACCTACTGCAGAAATAGCTAGCGCTTGTTCAGGGCGATACACTACTCAAAACATTAAACATCATGCCGTAGTTCTGCCCTTTTGACGTTGTGCTATGCATTTGGGCAATTTCGGATTTAAAAAGAGTACCTTAAATTCAGATTGAAGGTCGAGTTGTTCAAGCCTGGATAGGTCTCCTTACGTAGGGTTGTAGAGGCTTAGGATTCTAGGGCCGGGTTCGGGTTGTAGGGTTGGGGCTACATATATTATTATATCGTCTCGATATATATATATACATATATATATATATACATATATATATACATGTACATATATAGACGATATCGATGATAAGTTAATAAATTAAAGCTGGGGTTCTCAACTCCAGTCACTTCAGACTTTGATTTGAGATTAAGGTCGATGTGTAGGCCTGGATTAGGGATCTAGGGCTGGGGTTTTCGGGTTGGGGCTTTGGGGTGAGGCATAGAGGGTTAGAGGGATCGGGGTTTAGGGTTAGGGTTGCAACGGTTATAATAAACCCCAAACCCTAAACCCTTGCAACCCCTGAAACTTATATAAAAGTATATTTATATATGTACATGTGTGTGTGTGAATACGTACACACATACAGTACCCCAACTAACCCCTGCCATTGCAGCTGATCTCCGTCGAACAAGGTCTTGGGCTCCACCTTCTGGTTCTTGGGGTCCGGGGTTTTGGTCGCGGGAGTCTTTTGGCTGGACGGCACCGGGGTGAGCATGCTGCGATCTCGCTTCACATGAGGCACAGGTGTGTCCATCATTGAGGCGTCCACTTCCTTCTTGGGTGTGCTGGCTTCCTTGGCTGGGTCGTCGGCTTTCTTGTCTTCTTCCTTCTTGGCTGCGTCGGCTTTCTTGTCTTCTTCCTTCTTGGCTGCGTTGGCTTTCTTGTCTTCTTCCTTCTTGGCTGCGTCGGCTTTCTTGTCTTCTTCCTTCTTGCCTGCGTTGGCTTTCTTGTCTTCTTCCTTCTTGGGCGGGTCGGCTTTCTTGGGCGGGGCCGCTTTGGAAGCCATCAAAGTGGCCACAAGCGCTCTTCGGCGCTCTGCTTTCTCCATAGCATCCTGGGCCACCTTGGCCATGGAGACAGCAGCCCTAAAATTATAGAGGTATAGGCTAGCAACTGCTAGTATTTTCGAACCCGGGCCTTGGCAAGATCACCCGGGCGTCCAGCCATGATGATAAAATGGAAAACACGTGCTCTTGGAGCCTAAATGCGCTATAAATCTGAAGTCCCGACACATTATACGTAACGAACCACCGAGACAAGACATATATATGTATGCGGACATGTGTACATGTGTGTGTGTACCGATGTAAAGCCGCGCTATGATGACCAATCCGCTCCAGAATCCCTGCCTACCGCAAAACCACACAGGCACAAATCACGCAAAATCACGCCAAAATCACGCTAAATCACGCTCCCTGGGTGTCCTCCTAATATATTTATATTAAAACCACCACCGTGAAATCACGCAAAAATCACGCTAAATCACGCTCCCCACCGGGTCTATTGTGCACGTGAAGCATGCCTAACTGGGGGTGCGATATTTATTTATTTATTTAATTATATATAGGACCCTAAGACCCCGGGCCCTGTAGGCCCTAGGCACTATATATATCTAAACCCTATAAACCCCTAACCCTAAACCCCTAACCCTAAACCCCTAACCCTAGACCCCTAACCCTAGACCCTAAACCCTAGACCCTAAACCCCTAACCCCAAACCCTTAACCCCAAACCCTTAACCCGAGACCCTAAACCCCTAACCCTAAACCCTTGACCCGCTATATATATGTATAACCCTAACCCCCTAACCCTAGACATGTAGACCCTTGAGCTGTACCCCTAACCCCAAATGCCAAACCCCCAACCCTTAACCCTAGACCTTAAACCCCTGACTCTAGATCTAAACCCCTAACCCTTAATAACCCTAGAGCCTCAGCCCCTAACCCTAAACTCAAGGCTTAGGCCG